TTATTTCTAAAGATAATTGAAATTCTGACGAGAATTTCTTTTAATATTTAAAAATAATTGAATTTCTCCGAAGAATTTTATTACTTTTTGAAAATAATTGAATTTCTTCAATCATTTATAATTTCTCTAAAATTCTTCAAATTATATCGTAAAATTTACGATCTTTTTGTCCTTTTTCAATCAAATTACATACTTTACGGACCTTTCTTAAAAAAACAATTATTTAAAATAAATTTTTTTTCAAGTGTATAAAATCCAAAATTTTTTTTTCTATCAATGTTTATTTTCCTGTTTTTGCTATAATTTCATAATTTCAACAATGCTGTCAATTTTGTGAAAAATACTCTCCTTTTTTCGCAATATACGGTTCGTATCGAAATAAGAAAAGAGATTCTTTTTCCCCCAAGTTAAGTCATACATCATGACACCTTCTTTATTAAACTTCTCTTTTTCATGTAATAAAAATTCGATTTCAAAATTCATGATAGGTAGGTGTGTGTGTTATTTGATAAAAATTGCTACTTTTGACAAATAAATCAATTTTAATTTCAATAGTAATAAAAATGAAAATAATTTGAAAAATAAAAATGTTAAATGTTTAAAAATGTTTCTCTTCAAAGAAAGGTACCTAAGAAGTTATGTTTGTCTTATTCATACCTTATATTAAAATTAAAAATTTATGTTTAAAAGTTTTTTAAAACTAAAATTAGTTTTTATTAATTATTTTAGCAAAGAAGATTTAGTTTATATTTAAAGAGTTAATCCATTTTTATTTTATTTTTATTTATTTTCTTTATTTTTATTCAAAAAATTACAAACATAACATAAAATTGTAGCTTCCTTTCTTCGGTTGTCACAAATATTGTAAATAAAAAAAATATCCGTAAAATTAGTTTCTGTTCGATAAATATACAAGTTTAGACAAAAAATTTAGCAAAAGAAAAAGTTTGGCGTTTTAAAGAAAGACCTTAAAGTGTAAACAAACAAATCTGACCTCCATTATTATAAAAAACCTCAAAGCACAACGCGGGGGAAATCTCAAGAAAAATACAACTTTTCCAAATGAAGAACGTTCTTTATGCTTGCAAGTTTAATGTCCTTTTGCATCTTTCATCAGTCCTCCCCTCTCCTTTCACCCTCTCTCTCTTTCTCTCTTATCCAGTTCATTCCAGCATCTTTTCCAGCATAATGCGAACGAGCTTCATTGAATATTTCATTGGCAAGATCTTTATTTTTCGTCGTTGATTGTCATTCGAAAAGAGGTCCAAGAATGAGAATGGTAAAAAAAACAAAAGTTTTGTCGCTCTTCTCTTTTTTTTTTTCTTTTTCTTCATGGAAAATTATTATCTCTTGTATATTAGTGAATGAAGGGAGATGAAGAGAAGGAAAAATCAATTATTCATCCAAATTGGCCATGGCAAAAAAAAAAGGCCTAATTATCCAGGGGGCAAATACGAGCTTTAATACTCAAGAGTGTACCAACGTTTCCTTATACTTTTTTTTTCCTCCCTCTTTTTTCGAATTTTCCAAGATGCCCCCTCCTCTCCCCCCCCAGCAACCACTATGTCACTCGTTTCTCAGTCGTACTTGGCCCCTGACCCACAAAGTCTGACAATCTTTCCTCTCTCTCTCATTCCCCCTTTATACCGTGAATAACCTTTTGTATTTCCAATTAGCTTTGCTAATAAGAAAGATGGAGGCATTGCTTCTGCAGTTTAAAAAAAAAAGAGAGACGACCAAGACGGAGAAATAAAGAAAAAGAAGAAAAAAAAAGAAAAAAAATTAATGTATAACCTCATCCAGCCACTGGGGAAATAAAGAAAAGCACTGCCATTGCTCGCGGTATGACAATACTGGAGGTGGTTGCTTGCTCGAGTTATTACAGATAAACTAGAATTAAGGAAAAGAAAAATAATAAAATTCGTTCGTCAGTTCTGATTTTTGTCTAACGATTGCTGTATTTTGTTTCTATTTTTGTATTTTAAATTATATTTTTTAATTTCCTTTTTCTTCTACATTCGCTTTTTCTATATTTTTATTTTCCCTTTTCATTTTCAATTCAAATAAAATAATTATTTTTCCTAATTTATTTTATTTTTAATTCGAGTAAAATAATTTATTTTATTTTTAATTCAAAGAAAATAATTATTTTTCCTAACTTATTTTATTTTTAATTCAAGTGAAATAATTTATTTTTCCTAATTTGTTTTATTTTTAATTCAAATTAAATAATTATTTTTCCTAACTTATTTTATTTTTAATTCAAGTGAAATAATTTATTTTTCCTAATTTATTTTATTTTTAATTCAAAGAAAATAATTATTTTTCCTAACTTATTTTATTTTTAATTCAAGTAAAATAATTTATTTTTCCTAATTTATTTTATTTTTAATTCAAAGAAAATAATTATTTGTCCTAACTTATTGTATTTTTAATTTAAATAAAAATAATTATTTTGATAAATTTTCTGTTTCTTACACCTTATTCTAGGACTAGAACCAGTAAAAATTTTTAAAAATACTGAATTTACGGACCAAAAATAAAAAATTACGGACCATTACTGAAAAAAATATAACCAGTCCGAGTCGAATAAGAGAACATTTTTTATTTAAAATTACAAATTAAATTTTTCATAACAATAAAACATGAAGATATCGATAACTCTGAATTTTTGAAAAAGTTCTTTGACAATTTTCAAATCCATTTCTTTACAATATTTAATTTTATGAAATTTCAATTATTCGTAAATTCTTCAATTAAATATATATTAGAAAATAAAAACTTAAAAAAATATTTAAAAAAAAATTCAATTAAACTTTTTCAAAAAAATTAATTTCGAAATTAAATTATTTCTAAATATTCAAGCTATATTGCTTTTAATATTCAATTATTATCTAAAAATTTAACTGAAATTCATTTTTATAAAATGAAAATCAATTTTTATTAGAAAATTCTAGTAGAATTAAATTATTTAAATACAAAAATTATTAAAGTATTAAAAATAATTGAAATTCTGCAAAAAGTTTTATTATTTGTGAAAATAATTGAATTTCTGTCACTGAAATTTAATAAAGTTTTTAAAATAATTGCATTCTTCAGAAGAATTAAAAAAAAATTTTTTGAAATGATTTTGTTGAAAAAATTTAATGAAAATTGTGTTTTAAATATAAAATGAAATTATTTAAATACAAAAATAAATAATTTATTGAATACTTGAGTATTTCTTAAATTTGAATACTTATGAAGAACTTTATCAACATTTTTAAAAGTAATTGAATTTTTACGAAGAATCGCTTTAATATTTTTGATAATAATTAAATTCATTTAAGAAATGTAATTACAAATTAATTGAAAATAATTATTACACTCTTTAGAAACAAATTGTATCAAATTTTTTCAAATAATTAAATTTTTTTCCAAGAATTTTATTCAAATTTTTAATAATAATTGCGTTTTTAGAGGAATTAATTTAAAATCATATTAAAAATAATTGAAATCCTGCGATAAGTTTTATTATTTATAAAAATAATTGAATTTTTGTAACGATTATTATTAAAATTTAAAAAAAAATTATAGCATTCTTGAGATGATTATTGAATTCTTTCAAAAATTTTATTCAAATTATATTAAAAGCAATGCAATTATTATAAAGAATTTCATTAAAATTTTTAATAATAATTGAATTCTTTAAAAGATATTTATTAAAATTTTTAAAAATAGTTGCATTATTCGCGAAATTCATTTAAAATTGTATTAAATTGAAATCCGCTACTATGAGTTTTAATATATTTATAAAAATAATTTAATTTTTGCAACGATTATTATTAAAATTTAAAAAAAGTAATTGAATTCTTGAGAAAAATTTTATTATTTATAGAAATAATTAAATTCTTGCGAAGAATTTTATAAAAATCTATTTAAATAATTGATTTTTTTTAAATATTAGGAAAATTCTGTTTTAAATAATTGAAATACTGTGAACATTTTTTTATTTATGAAAATAATTGAATGTTTGCAAAGAATTAGCGGAATTATTTTAAAATTGTGTTAAAAATTGTTATAATCTTGCGATGAGTTTTATTATTTCTGAAAATAATTGAATTTTTGTCACCGAAATATAATAACCTTTTTGAAAAAAATTGCATTCTTGTGAAGAATTTGAGAAAAATCTTTTTAAAGAAATGATTTTGTTCAAAAAATTTTATTAAAATTATATTGAAAACAATTAAATTATTATATAGAATTTCATTAAATGTTTTTAAAATAATTGAATTCCTTCAAAGAATTTTATTAACATTTTTAAGAATATTAAGAAGAAAGAAGCTATCAATTATCCGAATCAAATTTTTACTAAATAAATTAAATATCTTAAATAAATATCTCTTTTAAGAATAGTTGCATGTTTTGCGGAATTCATTTAAAATTCTATGGACTTCTTTCTTTCTTTTCTTTGGACCCAAGGCCACAATATAAACAATTTTATTTGACAAAAATTAAGGTCCTGAAAACACTCTACGTTTTAAAATTCTATTAAAAATCATTGAAATCCTGCGATGAATTTTAATTTTTATAAGAATAATTGAATTCTTGCAACGATTATTATTAAAATTTTTAAAAAAATTGAATTTTTAGGATATAAATAAATATTAATAATATTTAATTTATTTATTTACAAAATGCTAATATTATAAAACAATAAAAAATAAAATTCATAAAAAACAAAGCGTTAATTGTATAAATAGTTAATACCAGTATTTTTTTTAAAAAAAAGGTAATATTTCTGATGAATAATAAGATTTTTTGTTATAATTTTTTTGCATTAAAATCATTAAATATAGAAATTTCGTATCGAGGAAAAATTTTGACCTATTAGTTTGAAGTTGACTAGTATATTGAATGTGGAAAATTTCTTAGAAACAAAGTGTTTATAAACTCACACTGTGAATCGGCTACTCCGCAAAGCCCTTTTGTTACGTTTCAGCGCAATGTCAAGTTAAGGTGAGTATCGACATGTATTTGTAATTCTCCAATCAGTTTACGAAAAGCTTTCACTAGATCAAGACTTACATATTAATAATTTCGATTAGAAAATAATTTAGTTTTACACCAGATTTCTTTATTTTTATTAATAATCGATTCAAAGGTTTGTAACGAGCTCTATTTTTTAAAAAGCATTTTTTATTTTATAAAAGTTCTCCATTGGTTTTAACCATTTTATTTTATGAAACTAATTACTATTTTATTTTTATTTATATTTTTATATTTTTATATTTTTATATTTTTATATTTATATTAATTATTAATTTTACTAATTATTATTAATTTAATTCAACTGAATCAAATATTTTTAATTACATTTTACATTTTACATTTTCCGTTTTGCAGTAAAATTACTAATTAGTTAAAAAGATAATTACATTAAAATACACAATTAAGAACAAAATGATTATTGTAAGAAATGGTAATTAATATAAACTTTTTTCAACTAATATTTCGAAGGTAAAAATGATTTGATTTAGGAAATATTTGTTAAAGTGCTGAATTTTTTTTAATTTTATTTTTTTCTTCCAAAAAAAACTAAATTTAGAGGTAAAAAAAGGAAAAATGCGTGTGAAATCAGTTCCTAGGAGAGTAAATCAAAATAGAAGTGAAAAAATGCTAATGGTCAATAATAGTGAGAAGTGCCCGGAAATTGGAAATTTTTTGGATGAAAAAAATTCAGCTGGATTGGATTTATCGACAAAGAAAAAGGTAACAAATTTTATAACACGAAATTGCATGTTTACAATTACTTAAAGTGAAACATAAACTCTCGTCCACTAAAGTTCATTATAAAAATGTTCCCGTATTTTTAGCGAAAATGAATTTTTATCGATTTATACACCAGTTATACGCAAAAATGTAAACAAGAATATCAGTTTACATACAAAAATAAATTCTTTTTTTCTCTTAAAATTTCAATATTAGAAAAATTTTTCTTTTTATTCATTTTATTTATTCACTCCTAATTAATTTTTATTTATTCGTTATAATATTTGTTTATTCATTATTTTTTCATTTATGATTTTTTTTTATGTATTTTTTATTTCCTTTTATTTATTTTTTACTTACTTTTATTTATTTTTTATTTCCTTTTATTTATTTTTCATTTTCTTTCATTTATTTTCGATTTCATTTTACAAATTTTTTTTTTTATTATGATTTTATTTATTTAGATTTTATTAATTTTTCAGATATTCGAAAATAAGGAAATAATTGTTGATACAATGAAGAATACAAAAAAGGTGGAAGCTCCAATACCAATTTTACCGAAATTATGGGAAAATATCAACAAACCTTTTCAAGAATTTCAAATTCATAATAATTTTCACATTGGCCTCAATCATCATCATCAGGAAAACATGAAGGACTCATTTTTGTATCAAATCATGACTGATCCACAATTTATAGAAAATTTACAGAAAAATAAAAAGAAGAAAAAACCTTCCTGTCAATTTTGCAAAAGGGAATTTGAAACTGAACATGAAATGAAGGAACATTTGAATGTTCGATTAGATGAATCAAACAGGGTAATTGAAAAATTTATAATTAAATATAGAAAATTTTTTTTAAATTATAAAATAAAATACGAAAAAAAGAATTAATATTTTACAAATAAATTATTATCTATAATTAATTAAATTAATGAGTTAATTATAATTAATTAGAATAATATAATTAATTAAATTAATAATTAATTAGAATAATATAATTAATTAAATTAATAATTAATTGTAATTAAGTAAAATAATATAATTAATTGAAATAATAATACTGAATTAATAATTTTAGTTGTAATTATTTCTGATTCGTTTAACTAAAAGAAAGTTAAAATCCGCTGAGAATAAATATAATAAGAAAATAGTGGAACTGATTTTTTTTTCTTTTCCCCCAGGTCACTTGTTGTGCTTGTGGAAAGTCCTTTGCTCAAAAACGTTATTTACGTTATCATCAACGATGTCACTCGGATCGAAGTAAATATGTTTGTGGCATATGCCTGAGGAAATATTCGAGAATGGATAATTTAACTCGACACAACATTTTCCACACGAATCCAGACAAGTTTCCATGTACGATGTGTGATCGTGCATTTGCCAGAAAGGACTTGCTCAACAAACATCAAAAGTCTCATGAGAACAAGTATAAATGGTACTGTAACACGTGTCATAAGTATTTTAAAGGTCCTGTTACTCTTGACAATCACATGAAAAGTTTCCACGCACCTGATGTTAATTATAATAATAACAACACCAACAACAATAATAATAATAATAATACAACACAAGCCACGTGTTCTTTTACCAGTAACGCTTAAAAACGGAAAAAAAATTTTTTTACAATTTTTTTTCACTTTCAATTTAATGCATTTTTTTCCTATAAATTTGATTAATTTGAAAAATATTCTACGAAATGAAATAGAAAATTATTATCTCTGATATTAATTATTTTGTTAGTAAAAATAATACGAATGTCGAATGTTAATTTTTCGTGTTTGTTTAAATAATTTAATGTTAAGTAGAAATTTGTCTTCTATACAAGAATTAAGAACAAATTAATAATCGATTTGTGAAATAAAGAAACAATTTTATTTTTGTAAAAATCAATTGTTAGAATTATAATATTTAAATATAATAATTGTTCTTAGAATTAATAAGAGTTTATTGTAATTAAGGAAAGTCAACGAGAGAAGCTAGTAATAAATAATTTCTAAATTATTGCTGTTTTGATTTATTGCATTAAAGTAAAACATACTATTTACTACTTTTTTCACGATTTCCTACTAGTTGGATACTATTTTTTATTTTTTCCACTAAAAGCTACTTTTTTCATGTTTCAAAATTTATACTACTTTAAATTTGTTAACAATTGAAATAAAAAAATTATTTTAAAAAAAATTCAAAAAATTTTTCATAAAATTCTTTAAAATGATTCAATTATTTTCACAAATTTTTCGTAATTCATTTTCATTTTCGTAATTCATTTAATTTTATTTTTAATATCTACTATTTTAATAAAAAAAATTCCCAAAAGAATATAATTTACAAAAAAATAATTATAAAATTCTTTGCTAACATTCAATTATTTTCATGAATAAAAAAATTTTCACAGAAATTTAATTATTTAAAATAGAATTTCCCTAATATTTTCCGGAAAAAATCAATTATTTAAATAGATTTTTATAAAATTCTTCGCAAGAATTCAATTATTTTTATAAATAATAAAAATCTTCTCATAAATTCAATTATTTTTTTTTCAATTTTAATAATATAATCGTTGCAAGAATTCAATTATTTTTATAAATGTTAAAACTCATCGCAGGATTTCAATTATTTTTAATAAATTCCGCAAAAACTGCAACTATTCTGAAAAATTTTAATAAAACTCTTTGAAAGAATTCAATTATTTACAAAAAATTTAATGAAATTCTTTATAAGAATTGAATTGTTTTCAATATAATTTTAATAAATTTTTTTGAAAAAATTCAATTATTTTCATAAATAAATACAATTTTCAAAGAAATTCAAATATTTAAAACACAATTTTCATAAAATTTTTTGAACAAAATTATATCTTTAAAAAAATTTTTCTAAAATTCTTCTCAAGAATGCAATTATTTTAAAAATGTTATTAAAGTTCGGTGACAAAAATTCAATTATTTTCACAAATAATAAAACTCATCGCAGAATTTCAATTATTTTTAGTACAATAAATTTTAATCGAATTTCTCAAAAAATGTAATTATTCTTAAAAATTTAATTTCAATTCCTCGAAAAAATCAGTTATTTAAAAAAATCTCCTTTTAAAATTCTTTGGAAGAATTCAATTATTTACAAAAATATTTGAATTTTCACAGGAATTCAATTATTTTCAAATATTTTAACAAAATTGTTCGAAAGAAATCAATTATTTTAAATGCAATTTTAATTAAATTTTTTTTGAAATAATTCGATTATTCTTTTAGATTTTAATAAAATTCTTCCCAAGAATTCAATTATTTACATCAATAATTTTTCGAAAAAATTCAATTATGTCGATAAATAACAAAATTATTTCCGAAAATTCAATCATTTTGAGGCTTTTTGATTTTGATTTTCAATTAAATTATTTTTAAAAGTAATAAATTCCTTCTTGGAAATTCAATTATTTAAAAAAATTGTAATAAAATCTTTTGCAGAAATTCAATTATTTTCATAACTATAATAAAATGCTTTTTAGGAATTTAATTATTTTCAAAAAAACTTAATAAAATACCATACAGACATTTAATTATTGTCAAAAATAATAAAACTCCTCGCAGAATTTCAATTATTTTTAATACAATTTTAATCAAATTTCTCAAAAAATGTAATTGTTCTTAAAAAATTTTAATAAAATCCTTTGAAAGAATTCAGTTATTTTAAAAACATTTAATGAAATTCTACATAATAATTTATTTGTTTTCAATATAATTTTAATAAAATGTTTTGATAGAATTCAATTATTTAAAACAAATTTTCATAAAATTTGTTGAACAGAATCATTTCTTTGAAAAAATTTTTCTAAAATTCTTCTCAAGAATGCCATTATTTTAAAAACTTTAATAAAGTTCGGTAATAAAAATTCAATTATTTTCATAAATAATAAAATTCATAGCAGGGTTTTAACAATTTTTAACATCATTTTAATCTAATTCCGCTAAAAACGCAATTATTCTCAGAAATTTGAACAAAATTCTTCGAAAAAAATTCAATTATTTGTAAAAATTTGATACAATTTGTTTCTTAGAGTCTAATAATTATTTTCAATTAATTTTTAATTATATTTCTTGAATGAATTTAATTATTATCAAAAATTTTAATTTAATTCTTCGTAAAAATTCAATTATTTAAAAAATTGTTGATAAAGTTTTTTTACTATCTACTATTTTTAATAAAAAATTTCCCAAAAAAATTGAATCATTAAAAAAAAATGTTTATAAAATTTTTCGCAAACATTCATTTATTCTCATAGACAAAAAAAGTTTCATAGAAATTCAATTATTTAAAACAGAATTTTCCTCGTAATGAGAAAAAAGTTAGGAAAAGAGTCAAGCTTTATTTTGGTACCAATCGGAACTTGATATCTTGCATACAAGAAAACTTATGGCCATTTAAATTCAAAACAAGTTTACATTTTGAAAATATTAAAAATAAAAAAATTCTTAAATTTTCTTAATTTTTTTTTTCTTAAATTTTCCGAAAATTGAAGCTAATTGATTTAATTTTTAATTAAATTTATTTATTTTTTAATTTAATTTATTTATTTTTTAATTTCATTTATTTATTTTTTAATTTCATTTAAAAATTCGGCAATCTAGTGACAATATTCCTGCCAAATTGTGGCAATCGCATGGCAATATTTTTAAGAAAAGAAAAAATTCCGACAATCAACATCATTTGGCAAACATTCAGACAATACCTAAAATATTTTCTATTTAGATAAATTTTGTCTCGCGAATCTTTTTATAGACTAAACGAGAAGAGCAGTTGCTTCAAATAATTTTCTGAATATCTCATACTGTAATTGGTACAACATCGGATTAAAATTAAAACGCAAAAAGGTATATACATAAAGAATAAGTATTTCAATATACATAATAAAATTTTTTTTTCATTCCTTTTTTTTTTTGAAAAGAGGAAAAGTGTTGAGAGACGACTTTGCTCAGATGAAAAATTTCGAGGCTTTTTAGGAACTCGAGTGTAAAGCCATTGTCGTATGACAAGATAATAAAGTTTGTTAATACCAGGCGTTACGGACTGTGGTACATATTTTCTATCTCTGGCGAAGCTTTTGCCGGAGGGATTCGAAAAGAGGACTCCGTTGGACGAAACCCGGATAATAAGAAGAGCGGGTAGACATCGAATTTCTCTCTTTCTCTCTCTCTCACTCTCTTTCACTCACCCTCTTCTCATCCATATGCTCATCCCTTTGATGCACTTATTCGTCCGACGTATCGCGTATATGCGGACTCAACCAAAAATGTAACAAAGTTTTCAGAAGGGACACATGACCAAAGAGACCAGCGGAGATTCTGCGGTCTCTTTGGTGACTGGTTCTTGCAACGCTTCCTCTCACTTTTATTCTCTCCTGCAATTTCACTCTTTTCTTTCTCTCTCCTTTTCTCTCTATTCAACATTGTCCCTTTCTCGAAAAAACACCCCTTTTTTTTCCCTCCTCGACACACCGCCTTCCTCTCTCCCCCCCACCACCCCCTTCAATGTGATGTTAACGTATATATACGTTATAAAAGGGATTATGAGACGAATGAAGGCTCTTTAACGATTTGAAAAACTCGTCCATTGCACTGCAAAACATTGCGATTTTACTGAAAAGTGAGAGTCTAGTGATTGTCGTTAAAGAGGGTTGTTAAGTCTATAGGAGGTAAAGTACCAAGTACTTGAGGTTGTGTATTTTGAAACTTGCAAATATGAAGATATCAAGCGACAAGTCTACGTTTTTGTCAATGCTTTTTAAAGTGATAATAAATTTTTCTTTTTTTGACGCAAAAAATTGTAAAGATTTTGAAAGAAGAAATATTTTTAATACACTTCAACGCCGATTTAGCGGACTGTTTGGGGGGAATCGTCCGTTAAAGCGAACAATAGCTTAAACAATACCTTTAACGAGGCAGGACAAAGAAAATCGTAAATCACAACTGAAAAAGTCCACTAAACCGATTTCCGCTAAATCGGCGTTCGAGTGTAATTAGAAATTTACTAACCTTACGAGTTTCCAGTCGAATTTGTGCTGATGTCCTGCTGTTGTACGGAGAATATAAAATCACTATATTCCATCTTCTCTTGGCACTATTTTTTCGAAAAAAAAAATTTACTTTTGAAACTTTTTTTCACACTCGCGATTTTAAAGATATACGACACTTCCGATTTTACACACTTTTTCAATCAAATTTTCAAACGCTCGCGATTTTCAAGAATTACGACACTCCCGATTTTACACACTTTTAAATCGAAAAATTTATATTTTTGTTTTTTATTATTATATTAAATAATTATTATTACTTAATAAATCAAATATAAAATCTTAAATCATTTTTTTAAAATTATTATTATTATTATTATTATTATTATTATTATTATTATTATTATTATTATTATTATTATCATTATTATTATTATTATTACAATTGTAGTTCGGCAACGTCTTCTCACTGATAAAGCGCGTGTCAATCATCATTTAAGCCCCCCCCCTCCCTACTCTCTCTACCTTTCCCCCACTCAATTCTTTCATTTTTCCGAGGAATTTCTATTGGCTCGCCTATTTACTCTTGATATTACGATATATTTAAATTTAACTTTTTTTTAATCTTCTTTTTTAAACTGAAAAATTAAAAAAATTTATAATTATTTATTTTATGATTATTAAATAATATAATTATTAAAATTTATTTTAAAATAGAAATAATTTAGAGAAACATCGATACTCCCGAAAACTAAACGCTGGACAATGAAAACACGTTCAAACAGGTTGAATCTCGAATTTCAATTGACTTTCCCCACTCTACCTTTGGTATATAAAGCCGAAACCAATACTACAAATATAGTTTATGAATTGATTTATGAACTTTATTTTCCCACGTGAAACGATTCTACGGAAACCGCTCTACGGAAATTCCGTATGGAATTCCGTAAAATATTCCGTACGGAATTTCATGAAAAATTTCCGTAAATTAATAATT